TCGTTTTCATGTGTGTTGGAATGACATAAAGACATAAAATATTGGATTGTTTGTATTTTTTTATTTTTGCTCAAAAGTGATTGATTCTTAAGAACTTAGAAAGTTACTTCAAAAACAACACTACGTGGTTCCCATCAACAAGGATCATCGCCTCCTCTAATTATTCGGTTGGTTCCCATCAACAAGGATCATCGCCTTCTTTAGTTTATGCGTAGCGGTTGCAATAACCACCTTCTTAAATGTTAAGCTGGTTCATTAGATTGTGCGTAACCAATTGCAATTGGTTGCAATAACCAATTGCAATTGCCATATGAACCTAATCGTTCCAATCTGAGACATCTCCTCCTACCTGAGCAACAGTGACGAGGGCATTCGCAACAACATTTGTTGGGTTGTTTTTTATTTTTATTTTTTATCGTCTGAATTTAATATTATTAAGAAACTAAAGTTAAATTCATGTTCAGAACACAAAAACATGTTGGACTGGAAAGTTTGGGTTCGATAGGCTTACCCTAAAATTTTCCCGAACAATGTCAACAATGGTTTATGGTGGAAAACGGACATGGGTTCGGTTCTGATTTTCCTTATGGTTTTAATGGGTTGTGAACTGCTATTTATAGGCAGAAGATGAAGGACGAAGCTGTTGGACTAGCTCAAGGAGTCACCACCAGTACGCCAATCTTATTTCCAGTGCGACACGTGTCAACGCTAATCTAAGCTGCTGAATCATCAAGCAGTTGATTCATCCAAGCAGGTGACAAGCTGGTGAGGCAGGAGACAGCCAGCTGAGTCACCCTCAAGCTGGTCAAGCAGCTCACCCATCGACCAGCTTCCCCTCTTTCATTTACGGATGATTTAAACGATAAAACCGAAATGACCCGACAAACTGTCCGTATAACTCGAAACCCTATTTCCATGTACTAACTCAACACTCACGAATTATTTAGCTTTTTAGATATTTATCAGAGGTTCATAAGCTACTCAACTTGCTTTGATCCCAACATATCTGCCTCGGTCCCTCTAAATTCGACTCGATGTACCACATTGTCAGAAATAATATCTCTTTGGTTCAAACTGAAAATCTTCAACCTAAATTACTTTCTTATCTTTGTTTTCCCATTAATTAACATATCTAACTTGATTTTTCTCTCATGTCCCAATCTCGACCATATTGGTTCATGGTTTGCCTCGTATTGTCGATATGGTCAACTGACTTGAACTGAAAATTATTTTTTTCTGATCCAACTGAATTTTTTTTAACCAAAAGTACTGTCTATCTTTTCCAATTTCGACCATATTGGTTCAAAGTTCCCTCTATCTTTTCCAATTTCCTTTGAATTGAATTGGAAACTTTGGATCCATGCTAAAATTGGCCTAGCCGTATCGACCATCCATACGAGTGAAAACTAAATTTCACTCGACCCAACTTCCTTTTGTTTTGACCAAAGGTTTCTCTTGTTTCTCTTGAGAATAGTAAGGGAATTTCTCTTGACATATCTAGCCTTCATCAGGGTTATTACATTCGGGACGAATTCTTAAGGGTTTTCAGGTGCGCAAAGAGTTTTGTACAATTTGCATCTACTTCCTCTCTTTCTTTCCAAGCTACCACAACAAAAGGTTCCTTCTTCCCAAAACATCTGTTCTTGAAGAATATATAAAATCTTGGACTTCTTATCCTGTCACTTCTCCTATTCGTATGGATTCTTCAGGTCGTTAAACTTTTCTACTAACTCTGAATTGGTTCTCACTATCTCATTCTGGTGGTTCCATGTCCATGAGATGTCTCACTATCACAATAACTCTTTATTCTCTTCCAATCTGATTCATTACAAATCCATCTTCTGTCATGGTTATTACCGCCCCATAGTCATACTACTAACTGATCCATTTGACGCTAACCCAAAACCCTTGAACCAAAAGTGTTTCCTCCAAGGCAAACTTATTCTTCCTCAACAAAGTATTTCTAAGGATCACAATTAGTCATAACAATTATGGCTTGCCTACACTTTACCATCCTTTATCATCAAACTAATTGTTTGTCTCGCTATGTCCATCATGTCGTTTTGTCTTGACCAACTTCCTTGGCCGTCATGCAAAGTTTCATAGGGGAAACATCTCAGTTCCTTTATGATAGTTATTGTTGCATGGCAGCATAGCCTCAAATTTTTTGTAGCTACGATAACAATTTTGTTGCAAATTGAATTTTGTTACGCATTTGTCACAACTAATCCTTCGAGACTACGTGTTTGAAACAAATTCTTTTTTGTAATAAATTGTAATAAGTTGCTGTAAAAGGCCATAAAAAGTTTTTGTAAAAATTTGAATAGAAATTGCTACGAAATTTAAATTGTAGCAAATTTAGTTACAACAACAGTCACAACAACATTGTTGGAAATTATTACACAAAATTACAATATTATCGTATTAAATAATTAAAAGTGGTGACAAACTTTATCGTAACTATTGGGACAATTTGATACAATATTTTTGTTACTATTAGCCTACAAAAATGTTGTGACTAAAACTACAATTTGTAACAAAGCTATTGTATCGAATAGCTACAGATAGTTTCAAAATATCAGTAACTATTACACACAATTAGATACATAATTTTTGTAACTAATATACACATTTTGTGACAAATAATTGTGTGGCTTTATAGATGGTTTGCCACATTTTGTAACACCGATTTTGTAACTTTTAATCACATTTTGTGACAAATAAATGTGTAACTAATCTCTACACTAAGATACAATTAATAATATCGATCTTTATTACAAAAACTATATCGTTAACAACAAACAAAGCAATATTATACAAAATTTAGATCAAAAGTAATATTTTCCTTACAAACACTTATATTATATATAGGATTAGTGTTTTACAAGTTTCTACATTATACATATGATTAGCGTTTGGTGTATTTATGTGTTATTTGTGGATTGTTATGTCCAATAGATGAGAAGACTGTTATATCACACACTTACATCAAATTGGTTATGGATTTTGGCAAGCTGCGAACTTATCCGTGGGGTCTTGAATCATTTTATCATCTACTGAAGGAGTTGAAGACTGCTAGGGGGAAATTGACACGGAAGATTAGCTATCCTTTCCATGATTTCTCTTTTGCATTTCAGATTTGGATAATCACAACAAGAACAGGACAGCATAGCCTCAATTTTTATTGTAGCTACGATAACAATTTTGTTGCAAATTGAATTTTGTTACGCATTTGTCACAACTAATCATTCGAGACTATGTGTTTGAAACAAATTATTTTTTTGTAATAAATTGTAATAAATTACTATGAAAGGCCACAAAAAAGTTTTTGTATGAATTTGAATAAAAATTGCTATGAAATTTAAATTATAGCAAATTTAGTTACAACAACAGTCACAACAACATTGTTGAAAATTGTTACACAAAAATACAATATTGTCGTATTAAATAATTACAAGTGGTGACCAACTTTATCGTAAATATTGGGACAATTTGGTACTATGTTTTTGTTACTATTAGCCTACAAAAATGTTGTGACTAAAATTACAATTTGTAACAAAGCTATTGTATCGATTAGCTACAGATAGTTTCTAAATGTCTGTAACTATTACACACAATTAGATACATAATTTCTTTAACTAATATTCACATTTTGTGACAAATAATTGTGTGGCTTTATAGATGGTTTGCCACATTTTGTAACACCGATTTTGTAACTTTTAGTCATATTTTGTGACAAA